ACGAACCTGGTAAGACATGCACACGGGGATGTTGGCGTTGGCTCCTGCCGCGGCCAGGAAGACGCCAAAGTATCGGATACCGGGCGTGTCGTGGAAGCCCAGAATGGAGAGACCGACGATGGCAAGGATCGCGTTGAAGACGAGCGGAGGGCCGCGCATCTGGTACTTGTCTCCCCACCAGCCCGTCAATATCATCTAGGCACGGTTAGCCGAAGGAACCGGAGGCGCGTCCGCACTCTCGGGGAGCAATAGTCGAGGGGAAGGGGTAAGAGAGGAAGAAGAGAAGAGAAGAAAAACCTACAACAATCGCAGAAAACACATAAGGCGGCGCGACCAAGCACTGCGAGAGCCCAATGCTGAATCCCAGATCCGAGTTGAGGATGATGGGGAGGAAGTAGGCGAGAGCGTAGGAGACGGTGGTGATGCAGCCGAAAATCAGAGCGTAGGCCCAGATCTTCCAGTCTTTCCCGCCCGCCAACCACTGTCGGAAGTTGAACTTGGCAACGTCGGCATCGCCGCGGTCGACGTTGACGCGCTCGAGGATGCACTGTTGCTCGTCTGCAGTGAGGAAGCGAAGGGACCGGGAGTTGGAGCTGTCGGGGAAGGAGAGCAAGAACCGAGCGCCTACAAGTGCGACGCAGCAGGTCATCTGGTGAAGCGTCAGCGAACGACGCCGTGGCCACGCGGAGGACGGAGGTAGTGGGGGAACCATGAGGGCTGGATGGGCTGGCGGGAGGCAGAGATAGATGTAGGTAGATCTACATATCGGGGATGATGATGACTTACGATGCCTTCAATGATAAAGATCCAGCGCCAGCCTCGGTAGCCAGCCACCCCGTCCATCTGCATCAAACCGTAGGCCAGGATTCCTCCAAAGGCTGAAGCCCCGGCGCCAATCAGGTAGAAACAAGCGTAGCGCTTGCCCATCTCGTATCGCTTATACCACGTCGACATCAGATACACCACACCGGGGAAGAAACCCGCCTGGGGAGCCGCCGTCAGTAGCTGTTGGGCCCTGGTATGGGTCCCGGGGGAGATCTGTCCGGCTTACCTCGAGAAGTCCCAGCACGGCGCGCATTCCCACCAGATGCGACCAGTGCTCCGCGAAACCGAATCCGATCACGACAATCCCCCACAGAAAACACAGGGCGGACAGGAATAGTCGGGGGCCGAACTTGCGAGTGAGGATTCCTCCGGGGGGTTGGAAGATGGTGTACGTGATGAAGAACATGAGAGTGATCAGGGACTATCGAAGCAAAGTGTCAGTGTCAGTGTGGGCACAAGGCTTGCTTGCTTGATCGCTGGCTGGCTTGATCGCTTGCTCGCTTTCTCGCTTGCCCGAATAAGCGAGAGCCGACTTACATATCGATCCACGCCATTGACATTTCTGATATTCAACTCCAGGTTCATGCTAGATTCCACACCGTCAGCCAGGTCCCGTGGTTGGGTCGGGAGGAGAGGAGCGCGTCTCCGCTTACCCAGCAATGGCCGCGTTGGCCAAATTCGTTCGATCCAGCAACGAAGCGCAGTACAAGAGTCCACAGACGGGGATGAGGCGCAGATCGACTTTGCGAATGATGCGTGCCTGCTCTTCGGCCGACCATCGCAAGAGGAGCTGCTCCTCGCCCCCCGGCGTCAGTTTCTCCGGGGGCGGAGACGCGCTCTCGAGCCGCGACTCATTGACCGTCTCTTTGGAGTCCATGGTGTGCGACTCATTGACCGTCTCTTTGGAGTCCATGATGTGCGACTCATTGACTGTCTCTTTGGAGTCCATGGTGTCTTATCCAGACGATTTTGCGCACGAAGGGCGGCTAAAATGTAGAAAGAGGAGCCGAGAGGGCCTTGTGGACAATCGAGGAGGGGGATGAGAGGGAGAGGAAGAGGGAGATGGATAGTGTTACGGAGAGAGATGGGGATGGGGATGGGGATGGGGATGGGGATAGGGAGAGGTCTTCCTTACAGAGATAAGGAGATGAACAGCAAAAGCAAAGTGAAGGCCCACGGGCAAGGAAGATCGCATCTTATTAATACTCACTGCTTCGATCCATCTACCGGTACCGACACAAAGCTGCCCAACCTCGCGCCAGACTGTCATCCCCCTCCCCTCCCCAGAAAAAGCTGCATACCAAGTCGAGCTAAACAAACCCAAAATCGACCCCCCTGGCGGCGCTCCTGCCCTTTTGAGCCACGGCCCTACGGCTCGCAGCCACACGGGTCCGTGAGTCGCGACTTGTTTTTCCGGGCCAAGAGCGACCGCGTGTGGGGTAAAATCTGGGCGGGCGTGATCCCGTGACTGGTGCCTTTGGAAACCCGTGTGGGTGTCGGTCGAGGTACGGTAGTCGGAGTTGCGGTACAAGTAGTACAAGTCATACAAGTAATACAAGTACGAAAAGTAAGAACAGAGTCAATACAATACAGTCGTCTGGGGGAAGTATCGACGGACGGAGGGTTGGAGCCGACGATGGATGGATGATGCATGGTGGGTTGAAGGGAAGGTTGTCGACAAGTGCAAGATATTCTCAGTCTGGAGCTCCGTAAGTACCGTAGTAGGCAGACCGCCCCCAAGCACAAAAGGCGGGCAGAAGGCGGGCAGAAGGCGGGCAGGGTCTCCCCTCCCCATCCATCGCCCTGGAAGGTCGATTGCGACCCCCCAGCCGAAGCACCGCCCACCGCCTTTGGTACAGTGGACAGCGTCACGGGGGTAAGTACTACTACCGGTACGTAGTAATTGTTACGTACCCTACACCCTGAGACGACGAAAACAGGGGCTTTTGACCAGGGGAACTGGCAGTCGCGAGGGGGTCCAAGTCGACCCCCAATAAACCGGAGATGCATCCTACTGGATCGGGAATATACAGGAGCAAAAGTGTATCGAATGGGTTCGCATTCTCATCGGCGGGGGCGGGTATCTTGACGATGCTTTTCCCGACCTTTCCTTTCTTTTCTTTTCCTTTCCGTTCCGTTTCAGTATTCCAACTATCGATAACGGAATCTTGTCATCGCGACGGAGGCCTGGTACTCAGCCTGATGGGATAAAAGTTTGGAAGAATCGCGAGAACCTCCCTTCAGGCTGGACGGACACGGAGGCCGGTACTGTGGTACGGAGTTGTACCGGTAGGTACTTACGTACAGTAGTATCATAAATGCAAGAAAGCAACATACTACTACATGTAAATCATGCCTAGATAAGGTACAGTGTACAGGAGAGACGTACACGTCAGGAGTGATAACCAATCGCGGGTCAAGCCTTGCCGCTACTACTGCAAAGTATACAGTTTCTTTTTTTTCCCTTTCTTTTTCGTTGAAACTATAAAC